CCTCTTCTTGGACCGGGACTTGAAGACCGGACTGTCCTCATCAGACTCCAGGGAGGGGTAAACTAGGAGGTGGAGGGGGGGGGGGAGGCTGAGCCCCTGCTGAGAGCGGGGGACTTCAAGCTGCAGAGCACTGTCCCTCCTGTCATGGCTGCCACACACACGCGCGCGCGCGCGTGCGCGTGCGAGGGCACAAGTCCCCTGGGAGCCATCCAGCCCAGGCCCCCTGAGGCACAGCAAGGGCAGGGACTGGCCAGACAAGAGCTCCCAGGCCTGCCCCAGCGAGTCTTTGATGAGGAAGTCCCGCACAGCAGCTCTGGGGGGATTCCCGGGTGCCCCCACCACAGCGCTCACTGCTGTCAGTCTGTCAGAATAGGGCAGGCCCCACATCCAGGCCCGCAGGTGTCCACCCGACAGGGCAGGGCCAACCTCCCCTCGGGAGGGTTCTCCAGGGGCAGGAGGGGGGAGTTGAGGCCCTTGGGCCATGGGGACCGTGCCGAAGGCAGACCCCGCATCACTAGGGTAGCACACCCCTGGGCCCCAGACATCCCCAGGGGGGCAGGCCAAGGTGTGGAGGCAGGTCCTCACTCCTGAGCCCTCCCCTGCGGCCAACAGCAGCTCCCCAGAGCCGCCCGGAGCCTCGAGAGCAGGGCCTGGAGGGCTGGGGGGGAGGGTCATGCCCTAAGGCCCCCTGCTCACTGCCCACCTTGGATGTGGGCCACTCTGGGCCTCAGTGTGGTGACCCACACAGAGACAGACGGGACGGCCGTGGTCTCAACATGTCTGTGAGCATGCCACAGTGTGGCCGCAGAGGGGGTAGCGGGGTTAGTCCTCAGAGGGCAGAACAGCCGTGGACCTCCAACCCAGCAACGCCCCGTCCCAGGTCCACGCCAGAGGCACAGCAAACGTGGCCACACGGCACCCCTGCACTAACGTTCCCAGCAGCAGCGTCCGTGGTGGCTGAGAGGCAGAAGCCAGCAGGCGGCCGAGAGTGGCTGGAAGGGGCCAACACGTGAGGCAGCCACGGCAGAGCACGCGAGAAGCAAGGTCTGTGCCCAGGACGTGACGCACACAGACGGAGAGACTCTGTGGGCTACGGGCCAGGGAGGGGCTCTTTCTGGGTGGCGACCATATGCTTCTGAGACCGACTCTCCTGTCTCCTGAAGACGGCCCAGCTCCCGGCATGAGCAGAAGCCCGGGGGCACTGCTGGCACCCGCCCGCACCCCCAGGGCCTCACCATAATCTGAGTCCTTGAAGCAGGCATCCAGATGGTCCTGCTCCTCCTCGTAATCATCCAGGTCCACGCTGTTCTTCGCTGCCCTCTTCAGCAGTCGCTTGCCGGCGCCCTTGCCACCACCCCCGTTCTTCCGGGCACCGTGAGCCACCAGCGAGCTGCCCTTGGCCTGGCCGGCGCCCCACGTGGTCTGCAGGCAGGAGTCGGAGGCCTGCAGGTTGGCCATGGACAGCATTCCCTGAATTGCTTCCTGCGTGCTGGGGGAGGCCGGGGGCTGGCTGGAGACACAGAGAGAAAGGCGGCGCTCAGCCCACAGGCCGCGGCCCACAGCACTGAGCCCACGGCTTATGACCCGTGGCCCACGTCCCACAGCACTCAGCCCACAGCAAGGAGTCCATAGGCCATGGTCCACAGCCCACGTAGCCCCCACCCCCCAGTGGCACAGGGCACAGGGTGGAGCACAGCAGTAGCTGATGACTCCCTCTCTGAAAGAGCCAACCACCCCCTACTCCAGCCCTTTGCCCCCACACGCTGCAGGGTCAGAGAGAGCATGGTGAGGGGACACAGGAGAAGAGAGGGAGCAGAAGGGGGCAGAGAGAGAAGGGTGGCAGATGGACGGGCCTGTACCGGCCTCTGATAGCGCCTGCTCTCTCCCACCTGCTCTTTACCTGCTGGCCACACCTCAGCCCGGCCTGAGCTCGGCCCCGCACAGCCGCCCCCTCAGGCAGCCTTTCCCAACACCACCTTCTGCTGACCTGATCCGGGCACCTGTCACCCTCCGGCTCTGGGCAGTGCCGAGCCCCCTTGCCACATTCTCTTTGCCTGCCCCACCCACTCCGCCATCACCTCCTCCCAGCTGAACTGACTCCCCTCCCTCC